CTAAATGCAGACATACAGAACGAAAACAACGGCAATGGCTAAATGCAGACATTCAGAGCGAAAACAACGGCAATGTGTAAATGTTGACATACTGAACGAAACAACGGCAATGTCTAAATGCAGACATACAGAACGAAAACAACGGCAATGTCTAATTGCAGACATACAGAACGAAAACAACGGCAATGGCTAAAGGCAGACATACAGAACGAAAACAACGGCAATGGCTAAATGCAGACATTCAAAGCGAAAAGAACGGCAATGTGGAAATGTTGACATACTGAACGAAAACAACGGCAATGTCTAAATGCAGACACACAGAACGAAAACAACGGCAATGTCTAAATGCAGACATACTGAACGAAAACAATGACAATGTCTAAATGCTGACATACTGAACGAAAACAACGGCAATGGCTAAATGCTGACATACTGAACGAAAAAAACGGCAATGGCTAAATGCAGACATTCAGAGCGAAAACAACGGCAATGTCTAGATGCTGACATATACAACGAACATACTGAACGAAAACAACGTCAATGTATAAACGCAGACATACAGAACGAAAACAGCGACAATATCTTAATGCGGACATACAAAACAATAATTGATTTCTAAACACCGAACAAAAACAAAGACAATGTTTAAACACTCTTGATACAGATGAACGGAACGAAAGACAAAAACAATCTTGAACAGGCATACATTATAACAAGATCGTGTCTGCTGTTGCTTCAACCACTACTATCCTATTCTGCTACCCGTAGTTTTGGAATAAACAGGAAATAAAATCTGTATTCTGTTATTGCCAATAGGGTGAATCCCTAATCACGTGTATACTCAATATATCCGTCAGTTTAACCACGGGTGATGGATAGGTGTGTATTACGTACCCAAGCTTGACAAAGTCATGAATCTATAAGAAGACTAATGAACACTCCTACATACACTGGAGAGGTGAAAATCCGAGGCTTTAGAAAGGATTTAATTTTTTTAGCATGGCAACAAATCAGGTGTTCAAATATACAGCGGTACTTTTGGTCCTGTTGATGCCAATGACATGTGGCTTCCTGTTCACAAGTAAGTAAATAATATTCATACGAGGACCTGGAGGTTTTGTTGAGCTTCTGTGACTCGTACAGCGGCAAGTGTGGTTCTATATATTACAAATCGTTGCCAACTTACGACCATGATGTTTATAAATGCGGTATATATATGATTTTTTTCAGTGCAGGTCATCCAAGTACGGGTATAATGTTTAAGGCATACAGTTTATAAACACTCAATTGTGTAATCTTTATACACTAGATTGTGCAGTTAAGGCACAAAATCACTACGTCAGTTAGCTATAGTAGTTCAGGAACACCAAGAAGCCTCAGTTTAGGCACACAGCTATAGTTTCCCACAATTAAAGCTTCAGTTTGCACATTGAACGTGACAGAGTTTTCGCTAGTTTAGGAACACATAAGATTGTCCCACTATATTTTTTAATATTTTATTGCTCTCAAAGCTCTATAATAAATAAATTATTATATTCTCTGTTCAAGAAAAGACTCCACAACAAGGGCAAAACTGGATGGGCCAAGGACCAGGCTCCTTTCAACAAGGACCTAACATGATGGGTCGTGGACCAGGCTCTTTTCAAAATGGCCCCAATATGATGGGCCCTGGACCAGGCTCTTTTCAGAATGGTCCAAATATGAACGGCCCTGGACCAGGTTCTTTTCAAAATGGTCCCAATATGATGGGCCCTGGGCCAGTATCTAATCGCCAGGGACCAGGGTCGTATCCCCCGGGACAAAGGCCTATCTCACCAGGGCCTTATTTTGCTCAAGGACCCTACCGGCAAGGACCATACCAAATGGGTCCCAATATGTACCAGGCTTGGCCAGGGCCTCACTCCCTTCCACCACGAAGGCCACTACAACCACCCAAACGATCGTTTTTCTCGTCCGTCGGACGTGTGTTCTCAAGTCTTTTCCGATTTGGAAACTTATTTATTCCAGCTGCACCAAAGTCTTAAACACATTAAATATATATGAAGGCGGACAAAGCCACAAAGGGCGCTTACTGGGCAGAAAGATGGAAATTACAAAGATAAAGATGTCTCAATGAATTGCAATATCCATGATCCATGATAAAAAGTAACAATTTTATCCGTTTCTAAGAAACTGCCAGCAAACTCCTTTAGTGTATAATTATATAGAAATTACACTGTATCAGTAAGGTATCTACCATGGTACATACATATAATACATATACACTGTATGTCTTCAAAATAATGTATATGAAAACGCTGTATGTTTTCCCTTGAAACAATAAAATAGTTTAGTCTCACAGACACCAGAGAATCATTCAAATTGTGTTTTGTAAACCTGGTCGTCTTCCGAGTTTGTCTAGACCTTTCCTGACGAATTTCGGGTAATATAACACCACACTATAGTTTGTTTTCATGATCAGGTCACCGTGATGTATGGCATTATTGTGAGTTCTTGCAATACCATCAAGGAATATATAAAGAATGAATAGTCAATACTAGAATAACAACATAATAAATTGTCAGTAACAATCGGTGACCCTGAACAGTCTAACGCGATGCCAGGACCATTACAATGAGGTTTTAGTCCACTACCATCATTCTCATACTCCATGGGTTACGCTCACTTACACTCTCTGTACCCCTGGGATATATGTATCATAGCAAAATTGAAGGCACGCAGCTAGCTATTTGATTGAGATTAGGTAAAAAAATGACCACGATTTCACAGATATGTGTATGGCGACAAAAAATGGTATGTCAATTCAATGTATATCCCTAAATCTGTTAAGTTGTCCACTTCATATATTCTGACCAGCACAACAATATTTGATGAAACAACAAAGAGTGCTAATGATGATCGTACCACAACTCTATTACACTCTACAGTTTAATAGGTCAGACGAGTCGGACCGAACCAATAAAGAAACTTAATTATCCCAAGGGAAGTAACACCCAGTCTGAAAATGTAGAGACACATCACAGCAGTGGGACACCAATCCATAAGGCACAGTCCACAATGTTTTAAGTGATAATAAAATATGAAAAGAAAAATTGTTTTAATTACATATTTTATTTAAGGCATCTGTTAATGTTGTGGTTGGACATCAGGTAGCATCTACAACATCAATATACCAACTACACACAAGTTATCAGTTTCTTCACATACAAAACACACCCAGCAAGTATTCTTTACCTTCACAATACACACAGCTTGTCATTTTCACATGTTTCCAACTATGCAATATTTGTTTCTAGTCAACATCATTGATCATAGATTCCCCAGTGACTGGATATTTACACCTAAACTACCATCATTCATTAAACAGCATCATTGAAGAGACAAATCAACAGATAAACTTAATATCAGTTATAACATTATCATCGTAAGTTAGACAACTCTGTCAGACATACTCTATTACTAGTAGTTTTCAACCTAATTTAAATCTCTAGAACAAAACACTACATAGCTATCATTGCATCATGATTGAACAGTTGGACCTTGGTAATGAGAGTACTAGTACTACACAGTAGTCAACGAGAACCAAATCTCGGGCATTGTTTAGATGTAGGTAATAAACAGGACATGTTACACGTAACCAACACTGAATGTACAGATAGCTTCTCTGGAGTAAACCTAATAGTCAAACTATTTTAACTCGGGCTCCTGAAACCAGACAATCATTATTCAGAACCTATTTGCACCACAATAACTGTACACATTAATCTGGAAATTTCCATTCCAGATGAGATTTAACAGTAACTAATGGTCCCACTCCTTATAAAACCATATCTACTGGCTTAAAACCATATCTACTGGCTTAAAACCATATCTACTGGCTTAAACTGGTCTTGTTGGTGAAGTTTTACAGTTACCGTGGTAACACAAGTGACAAGTGCATAACCAGACACTATAGTCCTTTGTAACAAACAGGTGTCCCATTTACAATTTGTACATTCCCTCATGTAAGTTAAAAACTATTAAAAACTAAGTGCTACAAATATGGAAAATAACCTAACTGACAATAAGTAAAAGTCTAGTTTCGTGCCATCCAGTATAAATTTGTTTATTAGAATATTGCATATTATACATTATGGTTTACTGAGAAATATTCGCCACAGTTAACTATAGCTGTTGTCACCCCTTCCCCACTTTAAATCACGATACAAAATATTAATTATCTGGGCTAGAGATTAATTTAAACTACCACTAGTCCATTTGGGTGGTATAGTTTCCAATCTTTAATTGTTTATGAGCAAATTCTACTAACTATATTGTTCAACAAGAGACTAAGTAAGCACTATCAAATTTTGACAAGACAATCGGGCTAGCGGTTTATAGTACCACTAGTCCAGCTTGAGATTTCACTAGTTTCAGACTATGGGGCTACCCTTACTTTCTAGCCCTGAATACATATCTTACTTAAAATATAAGCATTTGTTTTGTGAAAGATGAAATTAACAGTACATAATAATGTATGTGAAAATGAATTCAACAACAAAAAGAGAGTGTGGGGATTCACATGGAGTGAAAGCTGAAGTTTTTGTTTATGCACTATTTTGTTGTTTGCAATGTGTACCATGTTTAACCTAATAAACATTCATTAAAACTACCAGGGTATCATGTATGATAACAGGCACCATGTATATAGATATGAGATGTTAACATACACCCTTGGGTGCTAGCTTGTTGAGGTGGGAATCTGTGTTGGTATAGGCCATTTTAAGGTTAGGTTAGTGCCTTCTACTTCCACATGTTCGTAGAACCACTTTCGACAACACCGACACTCTGTGCCACACTTCTCCGAGCCACACTTGGGACAGGGGAAGTGGCAGCCCTCACACTCCATGTCCAGACAGTCACAGAGATCCAGGCTGTTGTCCAGCAGCACTCCTGTCTCGTCATACAGCTGGTTCTTACGGATACTGTGGACAGAAGAAATTAGTAAACTATCAAGTAAGTGACAGGGGATTCATCAGATAGTGTTAAAGGAGGAAATTACTGAGGAACACATTTCAGACCCTTAAAAATGAGGAGGACACCTCACCCTCTTAGAAATGAGGAATACACCTACATGTACATGTACACACATCAAAAGGAGCAATACACCTTGAAAAATGGCAAGGGGTGTAGGATAGGGAAAATCCACTGGAGGGATTTTCAAATTTGGTAAAACTTGAGGCTTTGACGAGGGTTTTGTCATATTTAAAAATCCTGAGGGTTTAATTTCCCTATCCTACACCCTTGGGCATGAAAGAGTATTTTTCTCTCATTCCAATCATCAGAATAAGCTCAGAAACCATGAAAATGCGTTTGGAGTGGCCACTTTTTTGAAAATATCAATTTTCCCCCTCAGCTTTGGAGACGAAAAACGAATTAGCCAGCCATATTTTGCATATCCCATATATGCAAACAATGATTGCGCAGATAAATTAATCACATCTTTCTAACATGTATGGTAAATATATAATAAAAAGTTTTAATTTCATCACGTCGCCTTTACCGCATTGCAGTATCGGAGAGTTCCAAATTTGTGACGTCACGTCATTGTTGAGCCATTGTCACGTCACGTCAAACGGGGTGTAAGATAGAAATTTCCTACACCCCTTTCTTACCCTGGACAGCTCTATCTCACACACAGGGAAATGAGAGAAAATCAAATCTTACAAATGAGGAGTGTAAACTTTAAATAATTTTGATTGTTTATTGCTATTAAGCTTGATTTTATATCATGGCCAATAACCCAGTATATCTATTAATCTTGACTGTAGATATAATTATCTTATCTGTATAGTATAGATCTGTATAATGGGTTAAATTTAATTGAAGATACAATTTAAAATGCAACTCAGATTTCCCAAAGATATATCAGTATAGTAAGTTATTTGTGACTTAAGGCAACATTACAATGCACCAGAGTCTTTGCTATACAAATATTCACTCTGTATATGGTGTTTTTGTATGTACTATTAGTATATATATGTAACACTTTGTCTCCCTAGATAGTATGTAACACTCTGCCTTCCAAAAACATTGAAGCATGTTTGGTGACACTAGGTGAAATATCAAGAAAGTTATGCTCTAGATGAACTTTAAAGGGCCATAAATTTTCTTAATAATATTAAGTTAATATACAGACATGTAAAATTCTGAAACATGTTTGCGCTATATTTATAAGGAATATTTAAAGCAATTAAAGCAGGAGAATGATGAGACCTGTCATTTGATATGGGTCATACAAATTGATTCCTTTATTTGTACATCTTTTTCATAAAATAAACAGATATTTACAAGCCTGCAGGAATACACAACTTTCCTTAAGAGGTCAAAACAAAAATTTACAACAGAAAATTTGTATATATAAATAATGATTATACTGTTTCAAAATTATCATCTCAGCCAATCAGAAAATGTGTTAAAAGTTGAACAAATAAGACGTCAGTATTCTGTAAATCTGATTCAAAACAAAACTCAATGTATGGGGAACACATCTGTAAGCTATATAACGGTGATACTGGTAAAGTGTATTTGTTTTTAAACATTTGGTTTGATCACAACACAGGTCTCTTTACTATGTATGTATTTATAGATTTTTTGGTAAATATGTAAATTATTACTTCTCTCTGTATATCCTTCTGTTCATTTTCCTCATCTCTCTGGCACTCCTCTCAGGATCAAAGTTATCCATAAACTTTCCTGGATTAGCAAATGTCAGCATACGGAGCTGCTTTGTGACGGTCTAGACGAGTAAAACAAGATAGCAAATAATTTGTAAACACTGAAAGAAAAACGCAATTTATATTGGTTATAGTGTATATCACAGTTGTGTTTCACCTAAATTTTGATGCATGGTGATATTTCATAGAATATTGAGATAACTATTTAAAGAGGTATTTGCTATGTAATATTTTAGAAGAGATGAATATAATACACTGACAATGAACAACAAACAACCAAGATTTCTATTCATGCTTTAACTGAAATTAATGAAAAATCTATACACATTTTAGTACTACTATAAACATGTAGTCTAAACAAAAAGCAAAAACAAAAATAAATAAATAAAACTAAATTATATGAATGCAAACATAATTTTACATTAAACAGAAACCTGCAACATTTCGTGTAAAATCTTCATAATTATATCTTGAATAAAACTAGAATTCTACATACAATGTAAGTGAATGTGTCACCTGCATGCATATGCCACAGCTCAGGGCTAGACAATAGGGATAGCCCAACAGTCTGGAACTTGAGAAATATTCAGTTGCCCGGACTAGTGGTTCAAAAAATCATTAGTCCAGTTGACTAGTCCACTGATCATGAGTAATCAAAATTTGATATTGCCTATCTTGTTGAATAATATCGGGTAAGGGGAATTCAATTGCATTTAAACTGCTGCCCCAATTGACCATAGCTAATGGTATTCAAAATTAATTTCTGGCCCTGATTAAGGAATGAAATACATTGTATTTGCTGTAGGGGCCTTGAATCCCACTTCCTTCTTTTTTGGAAATGAGGTTAAATTTGCCCAGAAGAGCCCCAAGAAATGGCATTCACATATCCCGGCTGAAATGGTTCAGGTGGTGCAGAAATTTTCCACAATTCACGAACGCTCTTGGGCCGAACTGTAGGCAAAGCTAAACAAGCAAATTCGTGGAATTTATATCCCCCGCTTGCAGGACATATTGTAGATTTACATTATTGAGGTTAGGTTAAAACATGCGAGTATCGTGCTGTTGAGACATAATGTAAAGCTTGAAACTTGAAGAAAAATAAAACCCCTATACCTCATTGATAATCCATAAATATGCACAAATCACATCAGTTGGCAAACTTAGCATGATGTTCATACGGAATTTGGTTGAAACATCTGAACAATATCTACAGCAATATTAATTAGCACACGAAAACTAAAGAGTGCCTGAGATGGTTGGAAAGACAGAGGAACACAAATTTTGTTATCAAGTTTGCAAGAATTGGGCTCATAATTGCTAGAGTTATTACCGGAGAGTAAATAACAATATCTCAGGAATAATTTGTCCTTCTTTTTAACGCATCAACTAATTTACTGTATATAATTAATGTATCTTAAAATCTACATGTGAATTGGCCTTGTTTTATAAAGAAATAACATAAACTAGCAATATATAGTCAGCATATGAGTTTCGGTCAGGCACATCTGGACTCCTCAATCTACATGTGCCAAGCTAATATTCTTAAGGTCAGCCTCAGTTCAGATCTGCGCCCGTCATTTTCTTTAAGGTTCAACTGTTTCAACTAGTTGAACCAGATACGCGAAAGGGGCCACAGCCACGTTGTGTAACTGTTTATTCTTATGGATGAATTAGGATCACCCCATTTTTGTTCAAACCTGTACAGCAGTTTGGAAAGACATGTTGTTTAAAGCAAATCATCCATTCTTACCATTTATGACCCGCCTCTCAGCATCTTTACTTGTATACCTTTTGACCCCTATGGTCTAAGAAGCATGCATGCTACCATAATTGGGTTGAAATATATGCCCAGTTGTTTTGGGTGGGAAGAGATTTCATTCACAGCAAATCAACCTACATTGTATTTGACCCTGGTCCTAACTAAGCCCTTAGGATGGTCAGCCCTTCTTTTGTATAAATTATTATGCTCATTAGTTTGGGAGTAGATGCAGTTAAATGCAAAAGTTGATGGACTACAGATGATAAATTTATGACAGATGAAGCACCACCATCAGAGTGTGATGAAAGTTATTGGATAATTCAGAACTTCTATCAAAAGAATTCAACCAGAAATTAAACGGCCATCAGCCAATCATATCACAGCAGTCCCACTTAGTATCCATGAGCATTGCTGAGCCTCAATTTTTAGTGAAAGGCAAAAGCATACTAGAAAATTATCATACAAATCTGATAATTCCTCTAAATAGGTCATCTGAAATCTATCAGGCAATCAGATCGGAGCAGCCTCATTATGTAAGTTTAAGTCTGGCCGAGTATCAAACTTGAGACTTGGATATATACCCTGCATAATATAAGTTCACCAAACAAGTTTGATAAAAATCTGACAATACTCTCAATAGATAGATACAATGTATAGTCTGGAGTAATATCTAATATGAATCTAAGCTAAATGCACCAACATCCACATTGAATTTTGTATCAAGCTAAAAATGGATAAAATTAAAAATGAACAATTAATCAATTGATGATAGGTGTCATGTAGATTTCATGCAACATCAACTGATGGCCACTAACATTGGCATGATATATAAAGTATGGTGTAAAAATAAACGGAATTTGTAGAAAGATTCATGACATATCTTGTATACAAACTTTTCACTTCAAAAGTGTTTTATTAACATTTGACCCCAAAACCTTGATCAATGTCCACTAAAATCTAATTAGGTGTAAAAGTTAGAACTTTACTAAAGCTAGCTTCCATGCTATCATTTAAATACAAGCTAATGCCATACGGTTATGTTATGAGATATCTAGTACAACACAAGTTTTGTTTACTTCAAAAAGCTATCAAGTACTTGTGCAGACTTTGATCATTTAACCTTAAACTGATATTATCAAGTTCTTACCAGGTGTTGAACTCCATATGCATATTTCCATTACATATATGGCTAAATTCATAATAGATCTGTTATCAGTTAGTGGGATATCTTGTACATGTATACATCACATGTATGCCATTTTATTTCCAAAATAGCACATACATGGATAAAACATCTTAGCTATGGCTATATAGGACCAAGGGAAAGTTGGGGAACTTATGCATCTCAAATTTGAGAAAAGTTTGTCCAGAAATTCTTGAGAAATATTGCAAAAAAATTTTGAACCATCACAATGAATCCAAGATGGGAACCTGGAAGCCATCTTGTTGTTCTGAACAGTACAATAACAGGTGCACATACAAAAAAGGGGAACCTACACACAGGAGTATGAAGTTTTAGAAAGATTGATCATGCATGCGTTTTTGGGAAATTGTAACAACAAATTTTATCAACTGCAAAATCCAAGATGGCTACCAGCTGCCAGCCATCTTGTTTTTTGTTCAGCATCAAAATGAAACATGCACTACAAAGAATATTTGGAATCAACCTATGAATTTTGAAAAAGATTTGTCCATGCTGAGAATTATTTCTGAAATAGTAATTAATAATAAGAATTGATAAATATAAAGGGTGGACAACAAGCAGATGGATGACGGACCAAGAAAGAAGGACAATTGAATCTATATATTCCGTCTTTGCGTATTGCAGAGTTATCTTCTCTTAATTGGGAGCAGGTATTGATTGTTACGTCACTTATTTGTGAGAGTAACGTCATCAATTTTTGAGAAAACGACATAATTTTCTCACACAAACCAATGACGTAACAATCAATCCCTGCTCCCAAGAGAAGATAACTCTGCAATACGCAAAGACAGAATAGCCCACCATGTGACAATGACGGGCTAAAAATTTGGGAAGTCAAAGACACACTTCCAAGGGTCTAATGAAAGCCCTGCCATTCCTCTGCATTCTCAGTCTGTATTCCTTTTTCATACTTTCTCCAAATCATTATCTTTGTTAGTTTTTCCAGAGACGTATATAATACGTATGGTTTTTCTGAACTTTTTATATAATATTATCTTCATTTTTCTATATAAGGTGAGCAAGTTCATTGAAATATATATATATACATGTATATATTCTCTGTATTATAACCTGTGTTTTATCTGTCATTTTTCAGTGTATATTCATTCCAAATTATGGAATACAAAAGGTATTCGGTCCTGGAACAATATAATACGAAAAATCTATTTGGTCTTTTTTATGGAGAAAATATGAAAATTGATATGGGGCCTGAACTCAAGTTATTTAACAAATCTTTATCTTGGTCTGGGGATCAGATTTGATATACACTTAGATGTTTAATTACCTCATAACCCAAGTTCAGAGCTGGGTATGGATTTTCTCTAGTAGGTTTGCCTTCAACAAAATGCTCTGAGCACACATACACATGTTTAGGCAAGGTTTCACGGTTTATAGCTTTTATCCATTCCAGTCGCATCTCATCCGCCGACGGCAAGATATAGAAACTAAATGGCAGTAAACAGGTACAGTCATTGTGTATTTGGGATCCATGTTCCTCACAAATTGATGTTTTCCATTCATTCAATTTCTTGTGGTTGTTGTCGCATCCAATCATACAACAACTTGTACCACCTGATTTGTGTTTTCCTACGTTTTCTGCAGAAGCACTGGCCATTGTTTATACTCACTTAGGCGTCACATTTAATAGTAAACCCTACAGTAACATAATCCAAACAAGTCTTGTTAGCTTAAGTGTTTTTCTTTTGACCGATTTTTTGGCAAACTATTTCACCCAGATTTCATTTGTTCAAAACTTACATTTCCATCGTCACTACCAGTACCATCGTTAGAATTTGCATTATCATCTTCGATTACAACTGGAGTTATTTCTTGGGATATCTTTTTGTCGTTGCCATTAGACTTGGCTTTGTTCTTGCAGCTTCTTTGTCGATCGATTCGTCGCTCTTCCATTTTAAAGCGCCCTCTACAATTTTGTCTGTAGTCCGAGCACTGAAAGTGTTTAACCAGATGGCGATTCAGAAGAGCGTATTTTGGACACCGATCACTCACAAAATACACTCCGCTGCTGGTTGCTGTCAATTCAGGTTGTCAGTGATTTCGCTATCAAACAGCTACAGGGAAAATGTCGCAGAGCAGGTATTAATCAAACCACGGAATTAGATTAGATTATCTAAGTCCGTAATCAAACCAAATGTCTGAAACATTCTTGATATCACACGTTTAGTTAATTACAAACTGTCTTACCTAATATGAAAAGGTAAAGAGCGAAGTTTTAAATTTGTTGATCTGTGTATTTACTGATTCAGATTTTTGTAGCATAGATGATTTATCTTTATCAATATACATTGACTGATCCAATACTAGCATTATTTCAACGGAGGGAGAGCGCATGCTACAGTCAGTTAAAACTGCTCGGCCGCGTTGAATGCCTCGGGCTTGTTAATGATCACTGGTAGATACATGATAATTTGTTTATATTTGGATATAAACTAAACCTAAGGTGTTCAGAGTTATTTTACATGGTTAGGGGTTTAGATTGACTTTCGTTAAAAAAAAATACCTGCATATATATACGAGAAGGGAGGAATGCTCTCGATGTCGAAAAATCGACCCCACCTAACATCCTTGCATCAAAACCCCCTATCTAGTTCAAGTTGATGTACGAAAAATGCTTAATAATGTACCGTTAGAAAGATGAATACATTTTCTTTTGAAAACCTCCTATATGCACGTAAAGCGTTCTCTCCATTTGCGGTCCAAACACACACTATTTCCTAGTTTCAAAGTTTTTTCGTGAAATGACTGCGAAAAACCTAAAGCCAAGAGAGGGCCTGCACACAAAGCCTGCTCATTTTGTGCTCACCTGGCACCCACCAGGCTTAAGGCAGGCACTTTGATCAATCACGATATCAAAGCATAAAAGTTAAACCAGCAAGCTTCCTAAGCCACTAGTGACTACTGAGCCAATTTCAATGAAAGTTTTCAGGTACGAAAACTACCCCCTGATGGTGTGCATCCAGAGTCATGGCTCTTTGTTGAAGTAACCTTTGTCCACGGCCTAAACTACTGGGCTGATTTCAATAAAAGTTTACAGATATGTTATTACACCCTGACATCGTCTATTTAGGTAGTACTTGTTTTATTGCGACCTTTTGGAGGTAAATAATTAAACAAATACAATATAGTCAAATACAGTTCTTAATTAATTAGCATGTTCACACTCATGCATTGTAGATATTGTGTATAGAAAATCATGACTAAATTTAAGATTTAATGTAGCTTTCTGTTTTTTTAAATTTAGATGATGACCTTTCTGGACCTGGGATAATCAGACACGCTGAAGCCCACCTTTGCTACAATGACGTGGCAGTATGGGTAACCAGAATGTGAGAGGTCACCATCTCTGGCCGACAAGTTGCATGCCAGGTATCAACCGTAACATCGATTCTGACGTCCCGCTCCAGAGCAGCGGGTCAGAGGAGGAGGGAGATGTTGATAATGTGACATGGCGGGAACTTGAAAATGCTGTTGTGAACAACGACGGAGAATGTCTAGATCAACTGATCAACTGTGGTGCAAATATCAATACGCCACTGAATGAAAAAGGAGAAACGGCATTGATTCTGTCAGTGAAACTTACTCATTTACAGCTGGTACGTATCTTACTTGCACAGACTGTATGTAAAAAGAACTGTTTGAATGTGAATAACTGTTCAGCATTAGACCTTGCTATCATCACTGCCTTCGACAATCGTCTGGAGCCACGCCATAACTTGGCATGGCAGATCATCAAGTGCCTTATGGAGGCCAATTCCGAACCAGTCTGTAAAGATGCCATGATGTATGTCATACGAACTGCCTTGAAATACAATGATGAGTTGTTTCTGTACAGGCTCATACAGGCTGCCATTGACTGTTCAAAGTCATTTAAATTTCATGAGCTTCTCCTCCAGAAACTACACAGACATCAGCCAATTTACATGGATAGCATAGACCCATTGTTGATGAATGCATCAGACTTCAGTGTGAAACTGGTACGTTATGGGGTACCCTCAGATCTTGAATATGTGGTGAATTCCTTTATGTACTACCTGGAATCTTACTGGGACTCCAAGGAGAACAAGAGCAGTGTCTTACAGAAGTTGATCCTGTATTCTACAGCTGCGGGTTGGTGCTGGTCTCAGCAACAGATATCTCATATTCACCAGGTCAACCCTGCTGTTGGGCGCTGGTGTAGTCGACAACTCACCAATCCCCAGTCATTGGGCCATCTAGCACGCAAAAAAATTCGAAGAAGTCTTGGAACTGATATCTCATTAGGAATCAGCAGTCTGCCGTTTCAGCTACCAGAGTGTCTCAAATTGTACCTCATTCTCAAGGATGTTGACGAGATCTTGAACAGCAGGATTCCAATTAAAGAAATATTTCTCTAACTGTTAAAACTATGTTTATATTTGTACCATTGGTGATATTATATTTATACTGTCTTGGTCAATAGTAATTCTGCAGCATTTTGAAGTTTTCTACAGTTAGATAACCATACCCTATTAGAGAAGGACTAGCGCTTGTAGCTGAAAAAGATTTAATTTTCTAAAGCCAGTGAAATAAATATTGTTTACGATACAGCTGATACTTCAGATTTTGTATAAAATAAATTTGTTAATTTTCACAAAAATTAAGGAACACAATTCGCCAATCAGTATTGTAGAATTAGTAAAACTTGAAATGTGCATACATATATATATATATTGGTACTACAGTAGTATATAAATATGTATCAAAATTTATCAAGTGTATAACATAGTGCAGATGCCAAAACATTAGTGTGAGATTTTTTTTTACTACACAAGTTTTTTTTATTTCGGAATTACATATATGTGTGCACCCTAACTTAGAATTGTATTCATTATGTGGTACTCATTCTGTCAATGTTTTTTTTTTATCTTAATACTATTTAAAATTAGAAATGCTTCGTTTATTAAAGGACTCACACAACTAAATCATTTACTATATGTTATTACCAAACATTTTAGCTTATAACTTTAATATTTGAAGTTCAAAACCAGTGAAAACTGTCTAGATTCATAAATTCATACCTTGCAAAGGCTGCATAATGACTTTTTGGTAGGTTTAGTGGCATATTGTAGTGTCACTGCGTCAAGAAGTTGACAACCGGAAGTTAACAAGCAAAATCAGTGACCAAAAACAGAAACGCCCCCAGACATTTTGCCCCTGTGCAAATCCACACACAGACATGGAAATATATCAAAAGTATATAGTTTTCAAAAGTTAAATACCTGAACATTTCATTTATCTAAAAATCTGTCATCAGTTTCTTATTAAACTCCTTCAGTGGCCCAGTAATTAGCCAGAACTTATTTTAGATAGGAACTACAAACGTATGAAACACTTGCTGATTTGCTGATTTAGTTATGCAAGTCCTAAAAGTGATTGATGATATATATACATGTGCATTACCACTAATGGTAAGTGTGCCAAAACTTGTCCCGAAAATTGATCCCAAAAAAATGCATAAGTGCTACTTTACACTTGACAATGATTTGTAACTGTCATGTGTTTGTTTTGAGATAATTAAGTTTCCAAAAAAATTGTTTGATACATTTACTGTGTGTATTTATAAATCTGAACATTTCTGATCCTAAAACCTATCATTTAAAACTTAGACCAACCTTAAAATATTCTCTGTTTGTCTTTGTTCGACCCAACCCTTTGATGTTTGGGTCGGTAGGTAGGAATGTTTTTTTTTTCTAACAATAAAAAGATAGGCGATTAATTAATGAACAACTCCTAGGTATTAGAGAAAACATTACTGGCTTAACTTTTTTAATTCAAAAAAATAATAACAACGTATTTAAGTTAAATTTCAGTTCAAAAAGTGTGAAAAAAAGTTTTGGTCAGAATATGCAGCCCCAATTGGTCGGTCTATGACCAACAAACTTGATATTATTTTTCGTTTCCAATTGTAAAATTATTCGTGCTTTTTTGTGCATAGTAAGATGTTTGACTTTTTATGTGTTCATGCTTGGTTGGTATTATTTGTGTTGTGGTGATAGAGATTAATATTAAGATATCACATACTGAAGCTGACATTTTAATATAAGATCCGACATCAATATTTCTATAAAACTTCCAAGACTAGCACACACACACACTGGTTAACAGAAAGTGGACTGATATTTTTATGTTAAGGACATTATAACTCGCTGCCTTTGTGTAAAACACAACAGTTTTGTAGCTGTCGGTGCACAAAACGTTTACTTAGAGGTTGTCTTGTAGAAAATATGTGAGTAGTTTCCATGACATCTTTATACACATTTCATAACAAAACCACACAAATATTTTCATCTAATATTGCTTATAACACAGATATTTTGTGAAAACAAATACATACATGACTTAATTTTTCAAACAGATGATTTTGTTGCCTAATGAAAACGTATTGCAGTGTCTACATATATGTAGTTTCACTTTATTTATATTAATGCCCTGCCTTATCTACAATTATCAGCACCCCTGGTATGAAGGACCAAGATTATTGGGGTACTGCAGCATCTTTCTTCTATTCTCCGTCCATTCCATCAACTTTCTCTTCAGATGATTTCTTACCAGATTCATAGGGCATACAGATATGATATCTACCTATAGCTTGCTGGTGGAAAGGACTATAAAGTTCACTCAAATTAGTAACTTAAACCAACATCCAAAGTAACAGAGGTCAAATATATTAATAATATATTTATAGTCTTGAAAGCCTAGACTTGTATAGATCTACCTGTAGCTTAATATTGTACAACATATCATGGTTCAGTCTCCTTGCATCAAAAAAATAATTGGATATCTGGAAAGGTGATACCTGCCTGCAAAATGTTGGATCTGCCCCCGCATTTGTGATGTTTGAAATGTTCATTAAATGAGTATTAATGTATGTAAATAAAAGCATGTTTGTTGTCTGCTTTATCAACACCAAATTAACAAGTTTGTTCACACTACAGTAAACTTTTATGTATCAGGAATTCAGAAGTGATATAAACCTTAGTAGATAAATTATCTCCCTTTGGCTGTCGGAAAAAAGATAAATTACATTCACATAATAATGTATTAAAATGTACTCGGTTTCAGACTTTTTTCCTCTTGTGATGTTTACAGATGTTTCATTTTTCAAGAATATTTAAACATTGAAGAATTACTAACTCCTGAATTACAGACTAAGTTTGATTGTTATACACGAGCTACATCATTGTATATATATACAATGTAGTTTTATACATTTTTTTTTGTTGTTAGAGAAAGAAAGAATAACAAGCAATACTCTGTTATGTGTATTTTAGTTGGTTTAGGTTATCAACCTATCAGCACATGTTTTGGTGCTGCAGTAAGTGTTCTCACCTGTTGCATGTAATAAGTTTGAACTAAATGTCAGTGTTTTATGTGAAATACAGGTGTAGATAATTAGCAAAACTGGTATGGTAGTAAATAACATTAAAACTTGTACAACATGTACTGCATTCATGTTATTCAATCCATGTTTACTTACAGAGAATATTGAGATATTTACTCCCATGACTACAGTCATTTTGTTTCCCACAGATGCCTTAGTGTTTTAAATTAATAACTCTCAGGGTGAGAGAACAGGAGTGTACCTGGTACCCAGCAATAGTGAGTTTTCATATGTTACAACACTCCTCAAACTATTTGAATGATGAACTAAAGCTACCATTAGATTGTGTAGCTTTAGTTTTTTTAAACTTAAGTTATTGAATTCCTATAATAAGATACTTAAAAAACACCACTGTGGCTAACCCGACTGGTCAATTAACATGGTGAAAAGAGACGTAGAAAATGACAAACAGAGACAGAACAAAAGAGATGAGAATCAGGCCAAATGAAAAGGCTGGATCACAATACCCTACGTGCAAGGGACATCTGAGGCATTTGACCGGGTGATAAGGAAACGATATTTCAGCACCCTGATGAGGCCATTGACAACACTCAGACAGTTACTTGTGCACCCCAAAAATATACATTGATTTGAAGAGTGCTAAACGGCTAAACTTTTGATGTCGTATACATTTTATCATATTGTGGACAAGACAAATATTTTATTTCAACTTGATAAATTTAGGGGTAACACACTGTATTGATTTTTATTACCGGGTAATTGCAAATTTCCTAGTAATCACTCAAACCATATACTTCACAGGCTAAAACTGTCCATTTCCATACTTGTGAAATGAATAGCTTTTCTAACACACATACCAGTGCATGCTATTTCATTTTAAGATGTCAGATTATTCATCATCCTCTTTTAAAAGTGTGTGTCCTACCATTGTTTACAATAAATGCCAACCACATACTTTGATTTATTTACTTATCGCTAATGTAATTACCAGAATTCACGCAATGATATTTCTGTCATTTCAGTATATATACACATTATATATTGTATTACCAGAAAGTTTTGTGTATGTACAATGTACATAATGTTGAAAGTTAATAAAACATTTGAAATGTGTGCCATATATTTAGTATTAAGTCATAGTTCATTTGTGAATGAGCTATACATTCCATATTCCAATGCTCTATAAAGCTGGTAACAGCTTGAAATATTGTAAAATATGTTACAACTGGCAATATTGATACAAATTTACAGTTGAAGTTCAAGATAATCTCAACACATTATCACTGTGTCCCTCAGAGCTTTGTTTGAAATTTGTTTTACCATGATTTAAGCAAATATGATCAGAAGTTCGTTAAAGAACACAGGGCATTTTTGTATACATTTTCGTATATATTTACAAAATCAGATAGAGTGCATGTATTGTTATTATACAGTGGAATCTTGTTAATCAGGTAAATAAAACACTGTTTCAGCTACAGATATTGATATAATTGCAACTATGAAAAGCTAGAGTTCTTTTATAAAAAGTTTCTGGTAAAGGAAAAATATCCAGTTATCTTAAACTAAACTGGAAATTTTTAACTGATGAATTGTACATGTATTGAAAAATAAAATAAAATCAATTAATCAATTATTAAGGTTCTACTGTATTCCCATATAGGTTGTTACAAACCAAGCCAAATAGATGTGCAGTCGTGTGTGTTCTCTTTGTAGATGTGCAGTCTTGTGTGTTCTCTTTGTAGATGTGCAGTCTTGTGTGTTCTCTTTGTAGATGTACAGTCTTGTGTGTTCTCTTTGTAGATGTGCAGTCTTGTGTGTTCTTTGTAGATGTACAGTCTTGTGTGTTGTCTTTGTAGATGTTCAGTCTTGTGTGTTCTCTTTGTAGATGTGCAGTCTTGTGTGTTCTCTTTGTAGATGTACAGTCTTGTGTGTTCTCTTTGTAGATGTGCAGTCTTGTGTGTTCTCTTTGTAGATGTGCAGTCTTGTGTGTTCTCTTTGTAGATGTACAGTCTTGTGTGTTCTCTTTGTAGATGTACAATGTTCAACTAAAAGTGCTCAATTTTCCAATATTAATTTTCTTGTTGCTGGTTTTGAAAAAACTCAGGAAATATTTGAAGCTTGCTATTTGAAGCTTGCATTCGTTTTCTGACAAGCAATTATTTTGTTACCTCATTTTCCTGTAAAATAGTGTACAACCTTTTTTCTGGTTAGGTGTTTTATTCCTGTTTGATGTGGTGTTATGGTCATGTGCTGTTCACTTATCTTTTGTGAAATGTCATTACATGTATTTGTAATGTTTACAGTGTTAATGTATATGGTTGAAGAGCTGGTCACTTTATTATAACACTTCATGCCAAAATCAGTGAAAGACACATTAACAGAATTTGGTATCAGAACATGTTTTCTAGGTACATCAACTTCAACATTGAAGTACCCTTCAGTATTTACAATAGATATGCAACCTTCTGAAATTTTGCTGTTTTGAAATAAATAGTCTGAGAGTAGGGGAACACTCGGAATCTGTTGATAATTAGTGTACAGTACTAAGCAAAGACTTCAGCCGTGTATGGTGAGGTATTTTAAACCTTGGTCGATCCAACAGTAAATAAATAAAGTTATTTGCCATAAGTGAATTTGTAAATCATTGCCTTTAGTCATCAGAACAGATTATTTTATTACGAGGAGAAAATACTCTTTGATTTGTGTATACAAATTTAAATTGGATGAGAAAAGGCTTCACAATATTTATTTTTAGGTTACCTGAGCTTTGCTCAAGTGACCCATCCTAATCGCTTTCCATCCAGTGTCGTGCGTAAACTTTTTACATTTTCAACTTTTTCTCAAGAACCAGTGGATGGATTTTTTTTATTTTTATTTTTACTTGGTGAGAATTATCCTTGGAGAAAGATGGTTTTAAATTGTAAAATTGGGATTCCTATCCCAACCTCTGGGGCCAGGGTGGTGCCCCAAAGGGAAAATTAATCAATATTTCAAAAATCTTCTTCTCCAGACTCAGAGGTACTACAGTGATTTTCTCCGCATAAAAAGAAAAATCATAAGGGGCTTTATTTAAATTGTAAATTTTAGGGCCCCGGGCTATCCGTTCTCCCTTGGGATGGGGGTAAAGTTTACTACAGTTTATATAGGGAAATAACACTTTTGGGTATATTTTATCCATTTTCAGCAGAAAATTACTCAAACTTAGTCAGAATCATATTTGGTGAACGAGGGTATTACATTGTAAAATTAGGATTCCTGCCTGATCTCCAGGGGCTAGGGCGTGGGCCCCAAAGGGAACATTTACCAATATTTTCAAATTCTTATCTTTTGAGGACATGACAAGTACCAGGTATTTTATTTCACTTAGTTTACATGCTGATTTCCACATCACATCTAAACAATAAAATAAAGCTACCAGTACCTATGATATAACTCAGGTGACCGCCCTTGGGCCTGTTGTAAAAATTCATTTATGGCCAAATACTGTATTTCTATATTCTGTTGTGATCTAATATGAACAATTCCCTCTTTGAATGGTGTGCTTATGATAGGTGGTAAGTCATTTTTTAGCTCACATGGCCCGAAGGGCCAAGTGAGCTTATGTTGTGGTGCGACATCCGCCCAGGGTACTGATATGTGGCCTGTAGCATGCTGGGATGACGGGCTACCAAGTCTGTTCAAATGAATGACCTTGACCCACTTTCAAGGTCACAGGGGTCAAATGTCTTAAATTCTTCAAACGACTTCTTCTCATTAACCGAAAGGCCCAGGGTACTGATATTGGGCATGTAGCATGCTGGGATGAATGACCTTGGCCGACTTTCAAGGTCACAGGGGTCAAATGTCTTAAAATCTTCAAACAACTTCTTCTCAATAGCCAAAAGGTCCAGGGTACTGATTTTTGGCCTGTAGAATGCTGGGATAAAGGACTGCCAAGTTTTTCCTAATAAATGACCTTGACACACTTTCAAGGTCACAGGGGTAATATGTCTTAAAATCTTCAAACGACTTCTTCTCAATAACCAAAAGGTCCAGGGTACTGAAATTGGGTGTGTAGCATGCTGGGATGAAGGACTACCATGTTTGTTCAATTGAATGATCTTGACCCGCTTTCAACATAATGTCCTTGTTCGGCTTTCAAGGTCACAGGCGTCATGTGTTCAAATCTTTTAATAGGTTCTTATGAATCAAACACTGATATTCTGCCTGTAGATTTATTTTAGTCCACTTTTCAGATTACAAGTGTGAGATTAATACCAGGTGAGCGATGCAGGCCCATTGGGTCGCTTGTTTTATTTTATATTAATTTCAAATCAACAATCAACATCAAAGGGAAAACTTGTGTCCTAATATGTTGACCGTCGGTGTATATAACAGTCTTTTACTGAGATCTGAGGCAATCAGGAGCAAGTTAAATAATCCACTTGCCAAACCAATTCGCACAGTTTAGCCATTGTTTGGTGTAATTTATGCAATTAAATATAAACAAATCTGGTGAGGCCCGGTAAAAAGTTTGTCAGTTTTACTTCACAAGGATCTGATGATTACCTCTATTGGTGACAATCTGTTTTTGTGATAGTTTCAAGATTACCAGTCTGCCACATAGACACAGCTACTTCATATCACAGGAACACCATAGCTGGTTTAACTCATTTACCCCTGACATTTCATAAAGAACTATTCCAACTTTTGAATTTGAGGAGAGTCTTCAGGGGTGAATGAGTTAACTCCCTTTCAAAACATATCTACGGCAATGAGGATAACTCCTTAGGCACAGCTGAAGCTTCTCGAGTGAGAGCATATATGTATAAACTGAAGCTTACGGAGAAGAAAGGGGAGTCCAGGGGCACGCTCCACAGGAAAACTTTGAAAGCTATAAGTTCTATATTGGATTCTTGACCTTTTAGAGAACTTTTAGCAGTTAAATATGTGATAGTATTTTGAAATATTTGCTTTAATATTTGTCCTTGGACAAAATTTCTTGACTTTTCTTCTGCACTTGCTAAAATTGGTGCTGATACATTGAGTTTGAAAACAGACATATAATAATAGCCCACATTAAGCTGAAGATCTGGGGACCTTTTTTAATTTTAAGGGCGGTCCTTGGAAGTGTATCTTTCATAATATGGAAATCTGAAGCAAACTAAAAGTATTATAGACTACTTTTCAAACATGTAATTCTTTCCAAAAAAAGAACATGCTATTTCAATGAAACAGTACTTTTTATACATTTTTGCTCCTATGGAAGTAGAATGTCATTGTGGCCACTTACATGTGGCCAGCTATACCCTTGTCATCTCTGATTACATTATAAGTACCGGTTGTCTGTGGACATCCACTCCACACTCTCCTTGGCTTGTATATACATGTAACCAATGAAACTGATAGTGCTAATATAAGCAATAATCCTGCTCTTTGATAATCTTTCCATTGATTTTAATTTCTGTTGTTTAAATTGTACCTTCTAAGCATTACAAAATGTTAATTAAAAGATTTTAAAAACATGATCTTTTGCCTCTTTATTTAGACTACATTGTTGCTTATAACAATGTTGGAATGAATTAAAAAATAAGAATATTCCTCCTCAAAAACTGCTTAAAATATAGAAATACTGCATGTTACATGTATTTGCTTTGGGTTTTGTGTCCCCTACACATAACTTTATTTCTAGCTCACCTGGTCCTTCGTTTGTCAACTTTTCCTTTAAAAAAGCTACTACATGTAGTTGAGTATATCTTAGTGGATTGGGGTCAAGGGAGTCAATTTAGTGCAAGATAAAAGAGTATTCCCCCACCTCCAGGGGGCAGAGAAGCAGGGCCAAATATGGGAAATGGGTAAATCTTTAAAAGCATTTTCCTTCCCTACAAATTGAAGGAATTGAACTAAATTGATCAAAGGGGCTCAACGTTTATAATCAGATTAGTGCTGAGGGACAGAGGGAAATTCAGGAAACAAAACAATACCTTTAAAATCCTCCTCCAGTGGGAAATGGCGTAAGTCTGTACCCATAAAAACTGTTTTAGTTTTAACACTCCAGGCTTGTATGCATGCACCTGAAAGGTTATATGGTGCAGTGTTGTGATCCATCTGTCGGCCCTTCCATCAACTCTTTACGGTGAACAACTTCTTGAAAACTTAAAGACCCAGGGTCCAGATATAGCCAGTAGGTGCTTGAGAAAATCCACATGGTCTGGCAGTAGTCTGAATGTAGTCATGTATGTTTTAATTCTCTGTAAATGAACTTTTTAAACTATATCTTAGTTTTATGAGGGGGGATAACTCTGTCTTACTTGATAAGAATTTAAGTTATAGCAGCTTCACTTATAAAAAAAATCCAAATATTTAAAACACTATGTCTAACATGCCTATATGATATCAGTTAGTGCCTGCTTGAAACTTTGGTTTAAAAAATCTGAAAGTATAAAGCCTAAACAATTTTAATCACCCCTGAAGTGTATATCTATACATTGTCAACAGATCAAAGCTTTACCCATGATTTATAAATAGTGATTTTCAAGGTTTATGCTTTCGGCATATTATTATAATAATAGTGAAAATAATGTTTATAGATTAAATTGACTTATTACATTATGGTATGATAGCAACTCAGAATAAGATAATCTGATGAAACAATTACATTGATTTTTTTTGATTTTTTTTTTAATACAGCAATATGATCTGACAAAAGTTTAAAATTGTTATTTTTTCTTTTTCTCAATAACTTTTCAATAAAACCGTGATGACAATTCAAAAAACATATTACAAATAAAACAAAAATACAAGGCACGGTACACTTGACCTTACAATAAAGGGTCTATAGAAAGAACGTTTATTATAATTTTGCAGCTAAACCTAAAATTACTTTTTTGACCAGTTTTAAATGAATGTGAAATTATAACAAACAATTTTTTCACGTATTAAATATAATAAAAAAAAACTATATTTTTCCATTTTTAATTTTCAGTTACAATAAAAACCCTTTATATAACCTCCATAATTCATTATTTATTGTCATCAGATCATTTGTTTGTCCATGGTGTCCCATCCTTTAATGAAACTGTCAAGACCTCGTTCATTGGACGATTAACTCTCAATTAAGATGACAGTAAAATCTGTGTCCTCAATTTCACGATATTCGCCGCACACCTTTCATCTTACCTGTGCTTTACACAGCGACATACCTGGCTGGTGACGTCATCCAGGTGGCGCTGTGTTTAGTAAGCGTTGGGCTGGGACCATCTTGGATTATCATGTAGGACGCAATGATTACAAAATTTAACGATATCTCATCTAAGGTCTGTATGAACTATATTATGCACTTGTATTTATGCAGAGAATAAGTTTAAGTTGTCTTTTAACGTGGTTGATTTACCTGTACAATAGCGTACCTGATGTTATTCACCTGTTTGGTCTGACCGGTGAATAAGGAAGCGAATGATAATTGCAAAAAATACGCACGTAAATATGGTATATATATTATATTGTTGATACAAGGTTTGAAACAAAATTCTGGAATCAATTTTTGAAGATTTATAGAAGCTGTTTGATTTGAATTCAGTTTCATAATGAATGTTAACGTCTCTTTCTCGCACGTGTGTCCACAGGTAAATACACAATTATAGACTGAAATAAACATGGAGAGAGAAGAGGATCCTGGCGCTCCTCACACTACGAGAAGAATTGCACAGGTGCGGTCTGCTCGGAGCGTCATTTGCAGAGTCACACTACTGGACGGGAAACTGTTCGAAACAGATGTTGATGTACGTATCAATTCAAGTGTATCAAATTAATATAGCACAAAAGCACAAACAGAAATTTGAAAAATGTCTTAGTTATTCGAAGAATGTCACAGTCAAATTAGGTGACTGGTTTGTTTTATTGGGTCAGTGATCATACCTGGATTTAAAATGTTGACTAGGTCTTGTTACCTGTGGAAGTCAGAGGTACTGCAGTCAAGGTGGGATCCCATGTCACTTGTCAGAATTAAGATGACCCCAGGCATGTTATGGCTTTATGGCCTATTGTCAAAAGTATACCTTTATCACGAAGTACACAACTACGGTATTTACTTATGTGCTATAAATCTAGGTATGTTGATGGACCAGAAATAACATCAAGTTGTATATCAATGATAATCGTTTGGAATCGAAGCGTTCAATTTAGAAGATGCATGCATAATGGCTGTATTTTCAAATAGCTGTACATGTACATACAAAATTTCATTGTTGAACAACCTCTTTAATCACTATTTACAAGATTTGCAGAATACTTATATTCGGCAGTATGAGGTTAGACTGCAGTGCACTTCTGATTCTGATGATATGAAAGTAGTGTGCCATATCATCGACAGAATATCACTGCTTGTAGCAATAGTCAGGGCATCACCAGCTGCAACCTGTTCTGGTGAACAGATTAGTGTGTCGCGATATTGCTGTAATGCGCAGCCTCTCTAGGATTTGGTAAAACATTTATAAAACAATCCAAATGCACATGATAACCATACTGTAGCAGCCATGCTTACCCATTCATCATTACAGTGACACCTTGAAAACATTAAGGTGCTTTCAATATAAATCAGTCCTGTCATCAGATATATGTCAAGATAGCCACTGGATACCAGGGGAGTTCACACCCGACTTTAGTTGATATTTATCAGTACGTAAACAAGGAAAGAAAGGTGACCAATCCGGCTTTGGGCAAACCATGCAACTTGAGCCAACCTTGATAAGAGTTCTGTTTACCTGCATAGAGCCTGGCTTGGTTTAGATTTGTGTTGGTTTGCTCAATACTGTCACAAAAATGTTTTTCTCTGAAAAAAATTAATACGATACTTAATTGACTAAATCATACCATTCAAATCATGTATCCTTTAATGAACTTGTGTTTTTGGATTCAAATCTTTTTTATTTCTTTCACTCATATCAAGGTCATTTCCCAGTTCCAATACCTTTCTATAATTACCTACTTCTATAATCCTATAATATCACCTATACCATTCTATCAATACCTACCTGTTCCGTCCTTTAAATGCTTACTTCTACGATCCTATAAATAACTACCAATTCCCTCCTATAGATATCTACCTATACCATCCTATAAATATCTACCTATTCCATCCAATATATTCCTTCCTGTACATATCTGCCTCTTCCATCCTATAAATACCTACCTATTCCATCCAATATATTCCTATAAATACCTACTTATTCATCCAATATATTCCTACCTATTTCATCCTAAATATACCCACATGTACATGCACTAGCCTGATCCAGGTTTACTATTGTACTTTAAAGACTTACTTATAGCCTTGTTGACATTGAATGTGTCACAAAATACAAAATACAAAATTTCCAGTAGATGTAGTCATACCCCAGTAGTGACCTTATCTAGAGGAGGTCATGAACTTTATTTGGATAAAGTCATTGATCTAGTTTGTATCCTTTCATACATTTATGTCTATGTGCACACATTGAGGTTAGCTTGATTAAATGCAATGCTTTAAGCTTATACATTGTAGTTCCGATCACTGCAATATCTTATGATAATGTACTGAAGAAGGTAATACACTGTTAAATTGTATTTTATCGGAAAAAATGTTAACTTTTTGAGTATTTATTTATCTGAATGACATTTCTAAAGCGAATTGTAAAATACATGACATCATTAGTTAAATATTTTAGAAATGGAGCCTAACGCAAAACCATGTAATTATTATTTCATAAATGTAAAGCTAAGTATTGACCATGAACTGAAAACAGATGAACCTGCAGCATGACTTTACCTTGATAAGAACAAGTGTATAGATAGTATATAGGTACATAATACAGGTATATATATAGTACAGGTATATATAGTAAGACAAAGTATACAAATACAGGTACAGATTAGTATAGGTATATATAGTAAGACAAAGTAGACAAATACAGGTATAGATTAGTACAGGTACATAACACAGGTATATATATAGTACAGGTTCATGTATACTTACCTAACACAGGTATAGATTTAGTACCTGTACCTGTATACATATACAATACAGGAAATAACATGTTTGGTATCATGTTCACTCCTACACAAAAAATAGGATTAGAAAGCTTTTGTTTGTAGTATACCCGATTCGTGTTTTGTACGAGAAGACCAGTTGATGTCTTTAAATGTCCTGGCTAATATTAGTGGTAGTAATTATCGGGGCATACCTGAGCAAATTGAGCTGTCCTAGCCGACTTTAGACCTTTAATACAACCTACCTGATTGGCTTAGCAGACACTACATGAACCAATCAAAAATAGGAATAGGTCAGATCACGCAATTGTCCTTGTGTGCACTTCATTAGCAGCTAATATAAATAGGTAACAATTCTATTGTTTCATGCCTTTTCAGTGAAAAGTCAAAACTATTTTACCCCGGAGTTGGGACTGTTTATAGATGTTCCAGGAATAGTCATAGTCTTCAGGATGTTTGAAAATTAGGTGCCAATGACAATGAGAAGTTTTTATTCTCGCAAACTGGTTACAGTGTAGAGAATTATATACATATATATAGAGTACAGTTTACATATAAATCATGGTGTTAATGGCCAGTGTTAATTCGCTCAATTATGTGATTAAGGAATTTTATAAGTGAAATTAGTTCTTCATTATTGACATAATTAAATAATGTATTAAACTTTAAAGTACTAGGACTTTCAAAATAGTATCTCGACATAAATTTTCTTCTATTTTGCACTATCTGGTGGTCATTACAGTTAAATAAATAATGATATTCTGTGAGTAATCCAGCTTTGGCTGATTTAGCCTCAGTTGAAAACTTGTTCGCTTGTGGTGCGACAGGCTGGTTTTCTCTAATTAGTCTTGGTGTCCTATTGTTGGCCTCCCTATTCGATTACATAATTGACACGGTACATCACCAGTCAAAACGTCAAAGTGCGTATTGGTATACATGACAGCTTAGTAAACAGCTGCAGCCTTATAATTTTAGTAATTTTCGGAGAAAATGGTCAAAAATGCTAATTAAGATACTATTTCATAGAGAGTCCAAAAATAATATTTACTAAAGCTCAGATGAAATTTAGTTTAGTTTGTAAATAATATTTTAAAACAATACCTATAATTATCTTGCATTGATACCTATTCTAGGACACATTTAATACTTTTTCATTTAGTGTGCTTACAAAAAAAAATAGAAAAATAATATGCTCAGGATCAATTTGAACACTGGTTCAAATGCTGATGACTAGTTCTTGACATTTGTGCCTAAATAATATTTTGTCAGACTCGTCATGGCTGTATATATATATTCCCACCATGGGCGAGATCAGAATGTGAACACACTTGATGCACTTATATAAATGATGCCCACTGTTGTAGCAGTTTGTAGATTTTTTATCATAGCATTAAAAATTGTTTGAGTGTAAAGGTAACAGCTAGCTAAGTGAGATTGAGATCTATGTGACTTAAATGTATTTTATGTATATACCCCAATGTTAGTCTGTGATCGGCTTTCCAGGATGTACTTCCCATAAAACCAGGTATATTACCATGATAAAAAAGTCATGTACACTAAGTGCACAGTGGTGGACAGTCATCTCATGAATACCATGTTAGACTGTGATTTAGGCACCTGTGTCATTTCATTTTTTGCATATTACGTAAACTAGTATTGTTCCTCATGTTATACATTGTGATGAAGCAGTGAAGGTTAGTAGCCAAGATGTCGATCTGAATGTTTTTACTAATACATGTATTTTGATACAATATAATTATATATACCTTGTAACTGTAGACTATTAGAGGTAATTACCTGCTTGTTCAAGACATTACTCACTCCCAATAATTACCGCTAATTAAAAAAAATCTTTAAGGAAATAAATTAATCATAAAAGTCTAACCGGATACATGGTAGAAATTATAGTTCCTTCAAAGTTTTTACCAACTGAACATATATTGGCAATTGTGGGTTGATTTAAGGTCACTGCAGGGGTTTAGTACATCCTTGAAGTATGTTTTTGACTCACTGAAAGTATTTATATATACATGTATAACTGTTAGTTTTAAAAGGACATGCTATTTGACATGGGTAATATGATGCATCCATACTTCTGAAAAACTGATTTGATTGTGAAATGCAAGGTCAAGGTCATTTGCAAATGAAAGCCTTGCACTGTCACTGCTTTGTAACTGTCTAATAGACTGTACCATCTTTACCATGGGGTTAACCTGTTCATATATGTGTGATTTTTACCTCTCGTCCAGGTCAAAATCCCGTCATCCAGCACTGTACATATACAATGACACCGGCTTTACATTTTACGAGTCTTTAAAGTGGATAATATGTATTTAGTAAAAACGTGACAATGCTGAAGTAAAATTTGTATACAATGCAAGCAAAACCCACGAGGTTCACATCAGAACATGTATTGATTTTGTTGTAAATCTTTTTCTGGCACATTTGACTTTATTGCAATATGTACCCCTCACAGACCAGAAATGGATTCACCCGAGTCAATACAGATGTGACCGTCTCGGCCAATAGTGGGATAATAGCTGTATAGTGTGATATGTGACGTAGCCTACTGAAGTCGGTGGACAACAACTCTATCCTATTAAATAGTTTTGTAACCAACATATCAGCATGTTTACTATCAAAACAACGTTTAAAGAGTAGTTCCACTCCCAACAGTGATAAGCTATGGAATACATGTAAGCTGGATCCTTTTATCAGTCTGGTTAGTTTTTATCTGTATTAAAAAAAGTTTCTCTAAAGGTAAACAACCGCAGGTACATTGATCATTTTTCGTTTTTATATCAACAAGGAAGCACAGAATTATGGGTAATACAAACGTTTAATGTATACCAATGAATGTTTCACTAAACTAAACTCTCCTGGTACACATACAGTATCAATCGAAATCCTGTTTTAAATTGGTGATTAAATCTTAAAAAAAAAAGATAATGATGTCATAAACATGCAGGAATTCTATAAATTGATTATGACCAGTTCAGCTTTAGGTGATAGTGATTAGCTAACCAGACTTTGATGACCAAGCCTCCAGGCGACATTGATTAGCTATCTTCACTTAGTCTGACTCACTCCTGTCAACACCAAGAGCCTGTCTCTACCATAGGTGTAAATTTGAACTCTGTACAATGCTTATTTTACGATTACTCACATCTGATGAGTTTATCATACAGCGATAAGAAATTTATAAATAGATTAGATATCTGGCCCGTAGTGTATTTTACACACAATTGTATTTACAGGTACATTCACATGGGATGTTTACAGCAGATCTGATCATTGGCTGATAATGAAAAATTAGGCCCTTCAATCCAGGCAGATATTAGTTGATCCAAATTCATAAAAGTTTGTTAAACAAAACAAAATAAAATGTACACATGTGACAAGTATAACATGTATAACATAAAAATTTGTGAAAAAAGTTAACAAAATTGATGAATGAAATACAAAATGTACCTTTTTCTTCAGAATATGTCATTAGAAGGTTATGACTATTTTGATAAATTCTATAAATAAGCTCACCTATTCAGAGAATGGGGGTGACTACTTTAGCTGGTGTCAGCATCCCACTTTAGTTTATATTTTTTAACAAGTTTTTTTCAGACAGTGAGTGTCGGATCACCTCAGTCAAGAGGCTGTTCATTTTTATAAGGTTGAGACATTTTAAGGAGTCTAAGCAACATGCTGAACCCTTTTTTCATATTTTAAGGACCAAAATCAGTGTTTCTGTTGATATTTACAAACTTGTATATACCTGGTACAATGTACATCATGAATAGGCGAGCTTAGCTCTCCTATTTGTGATATATATATTATAATATAAACATACTGTTCTCTTACAGCTTCTGTTTTCCTTCAGACTAACTTCAGGCTAGTATCAGGGTCTCTGGATGATAAAGAGTCTCATATAAAAACTAGTTCCATAATAATTTCTAACAAACAAATTATCCCTAGCCCACTTTTGAGAGCATTTTGTAGCTGTATAGTGAAGTTGTTGAGATTTGTACCCCTTTCCCACATCTGCTGCAACCATTTCTGGAAAGTAAACGAGGCTGGCCTCTGGAATACTTATAAGCATGTGATGTATTATTATGTATTTGTCAAAAAACTCCAAAACTGCATTATAAGCTTTGTAAGTTCGGTCCCGTTCGGTCAGTTAGTGCTTTGTTGTCGCGGAGTATTTCTGCACCACTTGAACTGTTTCAACTAGGATGCATGAAATCAACCAAAGCGTAGACTTAATTAGTGTAGGACTTACAATATGTGGTGCATGCTAGAATTTGTTTCTTCATACTATATTTGGTTGAAATCAAGCAATTTAAAGGGCAGTTATTCCAACGAAATCAATTAACCAATCATAATCAATGGAATAGCCTAGGTAATTGTAACCCTACGGTGCATCACATTGGCACAAAAAAGGCAACCATTTGGTTAAATGTTGAACGGTTTTGTATAAACTGTATCCCGTTTTCTCCAAATTGAGTCTGTTTAATAGCAAGATAATATTAATAAATACACATGTATGCATGAATAAATGAATGCACATTTGTGTTCCTTATAACATCAGTATGTCATAATGTTGATATTTTCCCCCATTTTACCTGGGTAAATGTGAACAATTTGCACAATCTTGAAGGAATATGATTTGTCAGAAAATAAAGTCTAATGATATACGAGTATGTTTTTAACACATTAAAGCTTAAGACTGATGGAAGTTTAGTAAACATAAACTTAATGTTAATGGTATGTTCTTAAAAAATATATTTTCCCAATTTTGTATAAAATCTGCTTGATTTTCCTCATTCAAAAAGGGACAAAAAATGTAGAAAAAATCATGTAGAAATTAGGTAATAGAAGACATATTGTAATTTCTCAGGGAGAGCACTCTTTTCTGTACATAAAGGTAAGTCGATACTGTTGGTTTTTATATTATGTGTGCTTTAAATACAGAAAAATTTCGCAATTTACATGAGGGTTAGGGGCTGGTTCCCAGGCCTGAGCTTGTTGTTATGTGTAACACAGCATGAAATGACCTTGTTAACTCTATCTGTCCCCCCTCACCACCACAACTCTGAGTATCTCCTATTTAAAGGTCTAGTATATATACATATATATACACCAGGCGAGCTGGTATAACTATACTGTTATAATTTGTTAACACTTCAATGAACGCTATTATAGTATATATAATATAGAATTGATTTTTTCTTCATAAAAGCATCTTGTTTCTAATAGCTGCAAGTTTAGTCATATAAATGTACAAAAATTACACCTGTATACACCAGGTATATAATCAGGTAGATAACCAGGTAGATATGTGTATCATCCGTATCGTTCACATTTACTTGATACCGTCACTAAAATTTTCAAAATGTTTTTGTGACAGTTTATGTTAATATTTATGATGTATAATCTATGAAAACATGCATAAACAGCACTACATTGTTAAAGCACAATGATTAGGATTAAGTAGCTAACAAATGTTTCCACATGTGTTTGTATCCAAATTTCAACATTTGACAGAAAAAACATCAGTATTTGGTATGTTTTTGTAAACCAAAACTTCCTGATTTGTTGAGCGTTTAATTAAGTTGAAATATGTTTCAACCAAGGTAAGCAAAATTAAGCTAACAAGACTTGATAAGTTGAAAGTATTGTTTGGCTAAGGAATGGCAAAATGAAGCTAACAAGATTTAGTGCACTTGTCTTTATCTTGCGGTCTATTATTGTAGGGTTCATGAAGACAGTTGTAAAGGTACAGATGTACCTGTAGAACAGTACAGCTTTTATAGATGCTATCAGAACGTCATATGTCTCAAAAAATGTATACAGTTAGAGATAATCGGAAAGGTATTCCCGCGATGAATTTGATCATCAGGTGAAATCTGTTACTTTGTTGTTTGGTAGGGTAAGTATTTTATAATTGAATGATAATGGTCTGGTAACTTCAATGATATGTGGTCTGTGAACTACCTACAACAGGTAAACAGGTATCCCTGTCGTCATGGTTATATACATGTAGTCTATAAACATCACCTGGGTTTTCCTTGGGTCATTATCACTCTGCGGGAGTATGAGGTACCTGTAGCCTGGGGATATTTGGATAGAGTGTTTACATGTAGTAGGCAATTATACCTCCATGTAAGGGATGTCATTTCCCATAGAGGGTGTACAAAGATGCTCTTTGTACTGGTGCTGTTGTAGAATTTCTGTTGACATATAAATTATCTATAAATGACTGCAGGTGTACATGTATATGTTATGTCATACGAGGAACATTCTTATATAGATTTTTGGTGATTTTTAGGAATGTAAAACATTTTCCATGACTACTAAATGCTCTGACAAAAAGATTAATATTAAAACTCTGTAAGATATTTCTATGATTAAACCAACATTTAGTCCATTAATAATTAAACCAATGAACTTTGTATACTTGTTAGTAGTTCCATATAATTAGAAAGTGATTTCCCTTCCATTGTTGCTTATTTGAATGAAGTGTAAGTGATCCAGATAATTATTTTTTAGATATATTGTCAGAGGTTTGAGTTAACAGAACAATATTCTTTCATGCTATGTAATTTTGTATGTTACAGAAAAGGGCTGTCGGGTGTATACTGTTTGATAAATGCTGTGACAATTTGGATGTATTAGAAAAAGATTATTTCGGACTGTCCTACATAGATTCTTCAACAGGTTTGAAGGTAAGATTGGACAACTGATTGTAGACAAAGTAGTACCTCCATTACTGTAGCGACAAACTCTAGTCATAACAATGTACATACAGGATAGCTCTAGACTGTAGACCATCTTATAAAGTTGTACATTTGTATAAGACCCTTAAATCAGCTGTAGACTGTAGACCATCTTATAAAGTTGTACATTTGTATAAGACCCTTATATCAGCTGTAGACTGTAGACCATCTTATAAAGTTGTATATTTGTATAAGACCCTTAAATCAGCTCTAGACTGTAGACCATCTTATGAAGTTGTACATTTATATAAGACCCTTATATCAGGTCTAGACTATAGACCATCTTACAAAGTTGTACATTTGTATAAGACCCTTAAATCAGCTGTAGACTGTAGACCATCTTATAAAGTTGTACATTTATATAAGACCCTTAAATCAGCTGTAGACTGACTTATAGGATGTTGTATCAGACTATTGACAGAATTAGCTGTAGGCTTACTTATAGGATGTTGTATCAGACTATTGACAGAATCAGCTATAGACTGACTTATAGGATGTTGTATCAGACTATTGACAGAATCAGCTGTAGACTGACTTATACGATGTTGTATCAGACTATTGACAGAATTAGCTGTAGGCTTACTTATAGGACGTTGTATCAGACTATTGACAGAATCAGCTGTAGACTTACTTATAGGATGTTGTATCAGACTATTGACCGAATTAGCTGTAGACTGACTTATAGGATGTTGTATCAGACTACCGTAAAAACCCATGTAATTTGCGCACCTGTGTAATTTGCGCAGGTACTTTTTGAGGCTGAAAATCGGGGAAAAAAGCTTCTACTCCAATATTTTGCGCACCCAAAAAATCTGGAAAAAAACCGATCATACTCCGAAAATCGATCTCTGAATATATTTTTTTGAAATATATTTCTATGATTTTTTTTTCATTGATGTAAAATGATATTTTAAACCAAGAAGAAAGTACATAAAATGTGTATTTTGTTGCTTGTTTTCTTTAAATTATCTGATCACAAATGACACACACGTGTGCGCATATCGGCATACATCAATTCATTTTAGCAATATTTACATAAAACATTTACTTGCTTGCAAAAACATATCGATTAATAAGTAATTCGATGTTTAGTAACCGCTGGTGCATATCTCCTGGTGAAAGACATAATTAGATACCTTTTATTGATCATAATTACGATCAGTGAGAAGGGCTCATAATGGCGGCTTGGGTTACGTCACTTCAAACTAGGTCATGTCACAGTTCAGTTTGGCCACGGAATTAGATTATCTAAGTCCGTGGTTTAGCGATATTTATTACAAATTACAATGCAGTAATTAGCTAACACTATCTCTGTGATTACCCGTTAACAATAGCTCTACTAAATGAAATGATTTGCAGTCGCGATTGACGGACCGTGTTGTTGTTTTTTCACTCACCAACACGTGGCGTGAATTACGAAGCCCTACTGCATTGTCATAACAACAGACTGATTTGACTGATAAGGGATTATAAAAAATATGTTTATACTAGAAGCGTGGACAATCAATACATCCTCTTCAAATCTACTCCAAGGAAAAAAATAGTTAACGCAGACTATTTTTACGATGCTTCATTTAATAAATATTGAAATAATTCACGAGGTTATTATCAATCACGTGTTTACGTAATGTTAGACGCGAGATCAACATGAAAGTGAGCTGGAAAAAAAACATGCTATACGTTTAGCATAGGCGATTTGAAAAAACCTTACAGAACTTACATGGAACGGAGCTTAAATTGAACAACTACATTTTCGTAATAGTATGGGGAAACGCACCGAGATGTCGTAAGTTGATCGGCGATTCTCTGGCATAGGAATTTGGCTACACTTTTTTTGTTAACAGTTACCTATTTAATAATACTTTTCACATAAACTCACATAACAACACATTATGTATCTTTTATTAATGTTTGACATAAATAAATTTGTTGATCGTCATTTGTCTTAGAGTTCCGTGTACCAAGGGAAAGAATCCAAGATGGCGATCTCCCAGAATCATCGATCTTTTCCTGAAAAAAACTTTAAATTTTCTATACCTGTGTATTTTACGCACCCCCCACTTTGGGTATTAAATTTCTGAAAAAAAAGTGCGCAAATTACATGGGTTTTTACGGTATTGACAGAATTAGCTGTAGGTTGATTTATCATGTTGTATCCTCAGCCGAGACTAATAGACTGTAGACAATCAAGTTGTGTCAGACGTTGACTATGACATTCATAAAATACAAACATTTTGTCTGTTTCGATATGGACTAGTTAATGAATGTGTAGACAAAAGAGATATGTTCTCATCTACATCAAATCTATTATAGGTTTGGTGGATGTTGAGGACATAAATAGGCAGTATATATTAAATTTACCAAATTTAATTTGAAATAAATAGTATGTTAGTTACTTCCCAGTAAAGTAGGTTTACAAATAACATGTCAGATAAATTATAAAAAGCCGAAAAGTTCTCATACTGTCATACCATCGTTAGTTATTCTGAAAACATACATATACGTACATTTTGTACATGTATATTGTATCTATGAAATTATTAATTGGAGGAGGAATAAATCTATTTCCACAATTCTTTTTTCTCACCCTGCTAATATTTTATGTGTAGGCTTTACCTGATATGGCAATTTTGAGCTGCATGACCAGTGATACTGTTATACACTGGTATTGGGTTTATGTAGATGTCTGGCCAGGTAAGAGGATCTTTGGAAGCTTGTAGAGGGGGATTAATCAGAGACAAGCTTTGTTGCTGTAGTTACTGAAATTATTCCCTGGCAACCATTTGGCATTAGATGGTGATCAATCAGAGACTAGCTTCGTTGTTCTAGTTACCAAAAATATTCTCTGACAACAATTTCGCTTTAAAAAGTGATCAATCATACAAGCAAATGAAACAAGTGATCAATCTACAAGAGACAAGCAAAGTGTTGTTATGGTTACTAAAGTTATTTCTTGACAACATAATAGATACACTATTTTTAAAAATTATAAAAAAATATATTGACCTAACTATTGACCTCATGACAAAAGGTATGTAGTAACAAAGATGGTTGACACAGGTAGAACTATTATAAATATATATATAAAATATTATGTAATGATATCTATCTGATCTAGATCTGCTCATGATTTCATTTGAAAATAAACATAGAACTTGTCAGAAGTCCTCAATATATTTTCTCATTAAAAGAATGTTAAAAAACACTGATAGTCCTACAAAATGTAATCACTGATTTCTTAAATGTTGGCATGTATACTTTTACTTACAGAATTGGGTTAACACATTGAAAAAGCTGTCCAAACAGATCAAGAGTAAGTACTTGTTTAATCTATATTTATAACAATTTGTCCATGTAAACACAAAATTTAATCACAAATTAACAAATATTTTATGAGCAACGTTCTACTAAATGCAAATCATGGCTTTAAATCAGTATTTATTTAGAGTGTATGTTAGGATTTTTCTCCAATTACTAACTTAACCATCCACATTTGAAAGGTGAGAAGATAAAGATTTTTTACCTTGCTTTCACAAATTTCAATGGCTGTATTTAATATCACAGAATTACATGGCATCCCAAATACATATACATGTATATGGTATATGGGCCCAGGTGATGAACTTGACAATGAGTGCAGTCATGATCACTTTAACTTAACCTGATTGAATACTGTGTACTGAGAAAAATCCATATTTGCCCAATATTACATTTCTGCTTCACATTTAACTACATGTACTACCGTATGTATTTTATGTTGCTTACAAATAGTCTTCTTTTTTTTCCAGGTGGTCCTTGGGAGTTCAACTTTGAAGTAAAATTTTATCCTCCAGACCCCCAGCAACTTCATGAGGACATTACCAGGTCAGTAAAGAACTCATGAAAAGGTGTCAAAATATTAAAGTGGTGTAAAGAAAATTATACAATACAATATTATAATTATTGATAGAGGTTGGTATGGTTTTTATTTTAATTTTTCCTTTCAAGTTTCTGTTGAGATTTGTTTCTTTTTTATCTGCCTTAAGATTGTTAATAAAACCTGTAATACATTTCTGTAACTGGATGAGGTGAAGGTCAGTGTGCATTTTGTAGAATTATATATAAAGTGTAATAGTATACATGATTATAGTGTTGTATTGTTTTCTGCAGATATCAATTGTGTCTTCAAATAAGGAGGGATATCGTCAGCGAAAAGTAAGTATTATTACTCAAGTTGTGTCCGACTGGATTGGATGGGGACGTACAGTGCTGTACATCACAATTATTATGACAATTATACAAAGTAAAGACAAATGTTTATGACATAGCTAGATGTTATCATTGATAATAATAGAGAAGTGAATTGCCAGAGGTACAGTACCCTGTAGTGTATACAAGATAAACACATCCATGTTGTTATTACAGTAAATATCACTTCCCCGACCACACATTACTCAGTTACCTCCGTTCATCAAACATTTTTGCTTGGTCCTGACCATATCCTTACATTTTCTTAGATAACTCTGTTATTCCTTTAATACCTGTTGTTCCTTCATGTCAAAGCAGTGTTTTTATTGTTTCTTTTCGTTATATACAGGCGTCATTTTACTGCACAGTTTTTACGTTTTACAATGATAAATCAATTACTTTTTATTGTGTTTCCTTTTTTAATGTAAAACCATTGTTCATCTTAGTTTAACAGATTGATATATGGCAATCTCAGAACAACCTTGAATTCTTCAATACCTTGTGTTCCTTGAACTTTATTTATCTTGAACCCATGGGTTTGAGTTAGGGGGTTAACTGTTCAATGTTTTTGTCATAACAGACTGCCATGCTCATTTGTGACGTACACCTTGCTGGGGTCGTACACCGTCCAATCAGAGCTCGGCGACTACGATGTGGAGGAGTTTGGTCGTGGTTTGGACTATATCAGAAAGATCCAGTTTGCTCCTCACCAAGACAGGGAACTGCTAAAGAAGATTTGCGATCTACATAAAACACACAAGTAGGTCATTTCTTAGCTTCCTAGTTATAATTTCATTATTTTAGAGCCACCTAGCAGTTCATTTTAATTTTTCAAATTTTAACAGAATGGTAAGAAATAATAAGTTATCTGTAGCCCTGGGTTTTGCTCATAGTGGAGATGTCTTTGTCAGCATTATTTTTATTTTAAAGATATTGTTTCACTCATATCAATAAAATTGCCTGCATGTTTATAGTACAGTTATGTTAATGCAAAATATTAAGTGTATATAGGGATCTGCCAGCTCATACATGTACAGTTGAGCTATACAGGCCTTCTGGGCCTTTTGTTTAAACTGTTAACAGGTGTTGCTCTTGTCAAACATCCATATTTATATTTTGAGATGTAAAATAAGATTAAAAAACTTATTTGTGGGGTAAATGTCTGATGATGTGTTCACAGGGGACAGACACCAGAGGAGGCTGAACTTCGTTTCTTAGAAAATGCTAAGAAACTTAGTATGTTTGGTGTGGAGCTGCACGATGCTAAGGTATACAAATCTAAAGGTCAAATATTCTCAAAAAATCAAATGTTTTTAAAATCCTCGTTTATTTAATGATAATGTCTTTATAGTTTCTCATCTATAATGATATGTATATATAATATTGAATAATGTTTTCCTCCTCAGCAACACAAGGTTGTGGTTAGAATGTAATCTTATTGTAATGAAACATACTAATCCTTGTGTAACAGGTTTAGACTCGCGCGAGACAACGAATCACAGAGAACATAGCCATTACAGCTGTACTGCAGTGCTGCCTAGATTTCCTTTGTAAATCAATAATACATACAACTGGAGGTTGTTATTAGCTCTATGCATAATAGATTACCACAAAGTCAATGGCTGTGTAAACTGTTAGGATAAAGCCCAAGCCGTCTGCAGCTTTATTGATAAGCCCAAGCCGTCTGCAGCTTTATTGATAAGCCCAAGCCGTCTGCAGCTTTATTGATAAGCCCAAGCCGTCTGCAGCTTCATTGATAAGCCCAAGCCGTCTGCAGCTTTATTGATAAGCGCAAGTTGTCAGCAGCTTTATATTGATAATTTCTTTCATTTATAGGAAACTTCATATATTATTATGAGTCCATTTACAGATGTTTGTTGACTAAATTATTCATTATTTCTGAAGCTGTTTATGTTTCTAGAAGATACTTTCTTGTTGTTCAGGTCAAAGGTCAAGGTCATTGTAGCTATATTAATATAGCTTGGTATCAAAATTCTTCAAACAAAGCCATGTTATCCCTGGCCTTCAACGTTACGTGTGGATATATATAGGATCTTACATGAGTTGACATTTCACGAGATTTATGAATCGAGTCTTAAGAATTTTTCAATTTATCAAGCCGTTGGCGAGCTAAAACGAAACAATCGTGGCAAGTTTCATAAATTTCATATGAAGTGAAAAGAAGTGTAAGATCCTTTTTATCACATAATCAAGATTTGTGGCATTTATTTGTGTAAAACGATCATTTTCATGCAACCTTAAAATTTGAAAATCCATCATTTTGTAGTCTGCACAAGTCTGTGACGTCACAATTGAAACTTTCAACCAATCACAGGGCTGATAGGTCACATTACATTCGTTAATACGCAAAACAAAATACGCCAAATTTAACAACTGTCTTCGGAAATGTCAAAATGAGGCTCAAGTTTGACTTAATAATCTTTAAACTATGATTGTACATGTATATTAATTTTGGTGTGTCTGTGGAATTATTCTCCAAATAAAAATGAAAATTCAATAAAATGAGAAATTTGTTGCAACTCTTTTTTGGAAATTGACCAGTGTTAGATTTTAGGATTGTTCAGTGTTTATATGACAGGTTTCACATCCTGACTTGTGTAATGTGAGAATTTGCAAATGGAGAGAGATTTAAGGCATCAATTTTACCGAAAAAGGCCTGAAAAATAGTTAAATTCTTGTATGAACCCTTAAGGATAATCAAAGCAAGTCACAATAACCAATTCCTTTTTTATTACATTTAAACTAAGAGAATTTTGTGAATATAAAATGCATCTCTGTAGTAATTTCACATGTTAACGCTATATATATACTAGAAGTTTATATAATGGGTTAGATTTATATCACTTGATGTTGTACGGATCCTCAAATGAGAAATATGTTGAAGTTTGATTGCTATTGATGGCGGGGACTGGTTAAGCAACGTATGACCTGGAGAAGAAGAATCTTTTACTCAACATATGACAAGCAGTCATCAATGTTTTTATTTTTTGGTGAATAGATTATCATATAAGTTTTTATTTCAATTTATCTTTTCCTTTTTGTTCAATCTAAATTAACCATGATCAATTTATTGTATATGAAAACAAGCAGAAATATCTTTATTTTTGACAAATGATTGTCACAGCACTGAGCAGTACACACAGATTTAATCAGAAAACCTGCATATTTATTACCATTTCTATCCTGTAAGACAGGTAAACCTGGTATATATGGAACCTGTATTTAATTCTATTGTCGTTTTTCAAATGAACAACCTGGGTAGCCTAACATTTGTGATTTCTTCCGTATTCAAACAATTGTTTCAGTATTAAAAGATTTGTTAACCTCGAAATGACTGTAACTGAAGCCAGGCAGTTACCTCCCCTTGCTCAGTATAAATTTGCCCCAGCACATATGACAATCCTTTGTCAAAATTTTTATGGGGACAACACACTGAAACTTGATTTAATTAAAATCAATAACATTTCACATCATTATAACTTTTGTGATTTCTTGCTGCATATGGACTTTTAAACATTTGTATTAAGTGATCGTTACATCTGCAGGTGGGGTATATATAAGCCCTTACCTGTGCCCCATTTTTCAATTCTGAACGTTACTTTTTATCAGGATGCAGAGGGGGTGATTATCCAGCTGGGAGTAAGTGCTACTGGTCTGTTGGTGTTCAAGGATAAACTACAAATCAACCGTTTCGTCTGGCCAAAGGTTCTCAAGATGTCCTACAGAAGAAGCAAGTTCTACATCAAACTGCGCCCAGGAGAGGTAAATATTGACTTACAGTTATTATCAACAAATCATGACACCGAGACGTCAGTAGAGTTGACTGGTTGATATAATGATTGTCCATCGAAGTGTGACCCGAAGACGTCAGGAGTGTTGACTGGTACTTTTGTAATCAGCAAATGAAACATTTTGTGACATAGTACTCTAAAAGTTCATAGGAGAGTAACATATTCATGAACGGTCATTCTACGTAAGGTTGAGAGAAATGTTAATGTTACTGACAAGATCATAATGTTTAATTTTGCATATTTTCAAATAGTTATGAAAAAGGAAATAGAATCATTGTATTGTAAAACAGTGCAAAGCAGCCAATATTACAAGACTTTGCAGTTAATTCAATAAAATTGTTTATAGCAAAAAGAAAGATACAAAATATCCATGAATTTTTGGAAAATGTTCTGAATTATTTGTTAATGGGTTTTTTTTAGTTTGAAGATTTCCAGAGTCAGGTTGGATTCAAGCTGGAGTCAGTAAAGCATGCCAAAAGACTGTGGAAAATCTGTGTGGAACACCACTCCTTCTTCAGGTAAACTTAGGTCTAATAGCAGAAACACACTCCTTCTTCAGGTAAACTTAGGTCTTATAGCAGAAACACACTCCTTCTTCAGGTAAACTTAGGTCTTTACTTATAGCAGAAACACACTCCTTATTCAGGTAATCTAAGGTCTTTAAGCAGAAACACACTCCTTCTTCAGGTAATCTAAGGTCTTATAGCAGAAACACACTCCTTCTGCAGGTAAACTTAGGTCTTATAGCAGAAACACACCCCTTCTTCAGGTAATCTTAGGTCTTATAGCAGAAACACACCCCTTCTTCGGGTAATCTAAGGTCTTATAGCAGAAACACTCCTTCTTCGGGTAATCTAAGGTCTTATAGCAGAAACACACTCCTTCTTCAGGCAAATTAAGATCTTACAGCAGAAACACACTCCTTCTTCAGGTAATCTAAGGTCTTATAGCAGAAACACACTCCTTCTGCAGGTAAACTTAGGTCTTATAGCAGAAACACACCCCTTCTTCAGGTAATCTTAGGTCTTATAGCAGAAACACACCCCTTCTTCGGGTAATCTAAGGTCTTAAAGCAGAAACACATCCTCTTCAGGCAAACTAAGGTGTTGCAACAGAAACACATCCTCTTCAGGCAAACTAAGGTCTTACAGCAGAAACACATCCTTTTCAGGTAATCTTAGGTCTAACAGAAGAAACACACTCTTTCAAGTATAATACTCTTCCATACATTGAACAGACATATTGTCTGTGTGTTCAGAAATTAATTTCAATTTTGTTAACAGTTCTTTTAATATTATGAAATTAGAAGTGTTGATTTTTCAATGTGATGTGACTTACAACATGTATAGTTCTCATAATCCATTGTTTTTTATCTCTTTAAATGGTAAACTAGAATATTACTATGCATGTATATGTATATTTTCACTATTAAGCTTTGAAATGTACTGTAATACGAATATATACTTACAGATTTAGAGAGATTGAACTTCCGAAGGCAAAAAGCACATTCCCTCGCTTTGGGTCAAGATTCCGCTATTCTGGACGCACACAGTTCCAGACAAAGCAGGCTATGGCCAGTGTTGACCGTCCCTCGCCCTACTTTGATCGTGTCCACAGTCGAAGAGCTACCTACCATGGGCGGGTCCCGAATCGAAGAAATCGTGATGGTAGGTAGTGCATTTGATAATAAGGTCATTCATTCTTGTCACATTTGAACATCACATACAGCATTTAATAAAACGGCCTTCTCGATTGCAAAGATTTTCTCTTCTTGTTATATGTCATTTAAAATAACTCTCAGATAAATTTGTTCAAATTTATATTTATCGTAAAATAAACAAAACCTGAACATGGAACATGACCATAATATAGAGCTTTACAGTATCAATTGGTTACTGAACACCAGAGATCCAGCCAACGTTTACTTGGCTGCTGGGGCCTCCCCAGGATTGGAGAAGTATTTTGTTGTTATAAATCATTTCAATGTGATATGTACAGTAAATGTAAAAGACAGCATTAGAAATGTTTTGAAATTCAAGAAAAGTAGTTATTTTTTTTATTTAAGTGACATGTCAACAACTTAAACATTGTGTTTACTTTCCAAGTCATTTTGGGGTAATTGGGGTCCTATAGTAAGGTTGTATAGACCATCTACAGTATGATAGTACTATTTTAAGTTTGTAACATATACTGTTTTTCAGAGGTGTACCGTCCTGAGCCTCCTCGCGACCTCCCAGTCCCTCCAGAAAAACGTCCCAGAACTCCCAATAACGAAGATCGCTTCATAGAGAACAAACCTCCAGTTGAGTCAGATCCTGAACCAGAGGATCATTATGAGGAGGACAGACATAGTCATGACGATCATGAGGAACCAGCCGATAGAAAAAGTAGAATGGAAAGGATTCATGCTGTCCAGACTCCCCTGGCTGCAGTCATGATGGCGGCTAAGAAACAACAAGAGCAAAACAATGTAGACCGGTCACATCAACAGAGAGAGAGCGACGAGGACTCGGAAAGTTTGCCGGAGAAACCTCCCCTTAATGAAAGCATGGTACGTACCTTGTCATATAACCAAGAACGCTTGTCTGACCCCAGGAACTTACATCACCTAGGGTCCACTTCAACTAACAGTGTCTCATTAGATTCGCTTAACTCACATCCAAATCTCGATTTTTTTGAAAACGACTCTGAGAGTCCAGGTAGCTTGTCAAAAAAGAAGTCTGTGTCATTTGAAGAGAACAAACAGTCAAGGTTTCGCAAGGGAGGGAAAAGGAAGGCATCTGGTGGAAAAGGTTGGAGGAAACCCATTGAAACCTCTGTGAAGGTTGGCGTAGATAGTATTAGCGACAGTGAAACAAGTCCACTGGCTCAAGTTCGTGACAACCATCGCTATCCTTCACCCTCCACAGATCTGGAAAATCTTGGTCATGATTGGTCAGAAGATTTTCCAAAGCTTCAGAGATATTTTTCTGATTCTGAAGTGTCTTCAGAAGAAAATAGAGAAGTCATTTCTGAACCAAGATCAGTTAAACTTGAATCGAGTAAAAGCAAAACACGTAAGGGGAATCGCTCAGTATCCAAAACACACGGGGACCTCCCCTCTAATCATTCAGTTAGTAAAAAGGTACCTCCTTCAGAGGTCGGTGAGCGTGAGTCGCCGGTCTATAAAACTATCCCTGCTGTTTATGTAAACGAAGAAATTGTACACCCAGAAAACACAAGGTCGTTTGATCAATCCAAAACACATGTGAAAAGTCATAGTTTAGATTTAGAAGAAACAGATGTTAAACCATCAAGGTTAGCGTACTCTTACAGCTCCTCTTCCTCTGATTCAGACACAGATATTTTCACATCTCTCGTTTCTTTAGACGACTCTAAACTCTTCTCTGTTGCGAAAATGACTTCTGAACTAGATAGCTTTAATGACGAGAACACTGCCCCTCCTTTACCTATATCTCCAATCCCTTTTAAGGCCAAAGTTACATCAGATGAGGATATAGACGATGCACCTTTTCTGGATGCAGTGCAAGATTTGGATACGTCATCAAGGGTTCCAAACAAGAAAGATGATTATGGGGAGGAAATCATCAGGAATGCAACATCAACAAGACAGCACCAGTCTTACAGTTCCTCTGATCCATACATGGCTGAAACTAAATGCATTGAAGCATCTGTAGAGGCAATCAAACCAGAAACTTTAACTGGTACAAATTTCGAAACTTTGCCAATGTATATGAGTCAAAAGGGAAAGTCTAAAGAAACTACCATGGATGATAGGGGGGAAGATTTCAATAGAAATGTTAAGGATCCTTTGATTGACAGTTATTTCGATGAATCCTTTGACAGAAATGATAGGGCTCAAACATACGTTGATGAAAAAGAACTTAAGGTTTTGAAACCAAAAGAAACTGCCTTAGAAAATGTCATGCAAGGAGGCAAGTCTGAAAAACCTACAGACAAAAGGATGATGGGTAATATAATGTCAATGTCAAAGGAAACATCTGTAGACAATGTATTACCAAGGTCAAAGGAAACATCCATTGATGATGTCATGCCAAGGTCAAAGGAAACATCTATTGATGATGTCATGCCAAGGTCAAAGGATACATCCATTGATGATGTCATGCCAATGTCAAAGGAAACATCTATTGATGATGTCATGCTAAGGTCAAAGGAAACATCCATTGATGATGTCATGCCAAGGTCAAAGGAAACATCTATAGATGATGTCATGCCAAGGTCAAAAGAAACATTCATTGATGTCATGCCAAGATCGAATGAAACATCCATTGATGATGTTATGCCAAGGTCAAATGAAACATCCATTGATGATATCATGCCAAGGTCAAAGGAAACATCCATTGATGATGTCATTCCAAGGTCAAAGGAAACATCCATTGATGATGTCATTCCAAGGTCAAAGGAAACATCCATTGATAATGTCATTCCAAGGTCAAAGGAAACATCCATTGATAATGTCATGCCAAGGTCAAAGGAAACATCTGTTGATGATGGCATGCCAAGGTCAAAGGAAACATCCATTGATGATGTCATTCCTAGGTCAAAGGAAACATCTTTTGACAGTGTCATGCCAAGGTCAAAGGAAACATCCATTGATGATTTCAAACCAAGGTCAAAGGAAACATCCATTGATAATGTCATGCCAATGTCAAAGGAAACATCCATTGATGATGTCATGCCAAGGTCAAAAGAGACATCAATTGATGATATAATGCCAAGGTCAAAGGAAACATCTTTTGACAGTGTCATGCCATGGTCAAAGGAAACATCAGTTGATGATGTCATGTCTGCAGAGCAAATGAAGCAATCTAGCAAAAAACCTGTTGAGAAATCTGAAAAGAATGAGAAAATAAGGAAGCAAGAGAAGGATTATGGTGAAGAACCCCACAGAATCTCAGAAAACAGATCAACAGTACAAAGGGAAATATCTATAGATGAAGCTTTGGCAAAGAATGAGGCTAAAAAACGCAAATCAGAAAACAGTCGGAGAAGTAAAGACAAATCATTTGAGGAGGCTTTGGATAAATTTGGCTGCAATATCAAAGACTCGAACGAAGTTTGTGCTACTGATGTTAGACCAGATATTCCTCTGAAGAAAAATCCATATTTTGCACGAGAGCAATTTGTGGACAAAGGCTCACAATCTAGAGAAACATTAATAGACAAAGAACTTGATAAGAATGACAACTCTGTCAATACATCTTTTGATGATATCAGACAAGAGATACCATTAAAGAAAAATCCTAATTATAAAGAAATGGCGTCTAGAACTTTACCAAGCAGCGATGTATCTCAGGCTGACCTGTCCGGTCAGAAATCAGCACATCACCAGTTTAAAGACTGGCTAGCATACACTTATTCCCTGGAGGAAAAAAGTGTCACGTCACCAAACTTGAAAGATTCTAAGAGAGACTGGTCAAGGGTGCCTGTGGATCACAGGGTAGGAAGTACAATAGACCAGAAACCAGACATTGATTTGAAGGATACACAGTGGTCACCCACTCAAAAAGAACCCGGACTAGAGAGGAAAGATATGACATTCCCAGTAGAGGAAAAAATAGCTGTATCGCCCTTTTCCAAACTTAAGAATAGGTCAAGTTCTCCAAAGAAAGAATTACATGATACAATGGACTCTGTGTTTTTGTCAGAGGAAAATTTAGTCACTGTATCAAAGGTGCCTAAAATGGAATCCTACAGGACACTTAACGTTGGTTCTGTTCAAAGGAAGACAGATCAGAAATCAAAACCAGGAGAACCAAGAGAATTCACAGGTTCTTTTAAATCTCCAGTCATTGCAAAAGATGTGCTGCCTTTAAGGTCAGATGATCAAGGTTCAGAGTTGAAAAGGTCAAACTCAATTATCAGAAAAGGTCTTGGTGTTCAGACAAATGGTTCACTCATTAGAAGACATAGCTCTGGTCAGGAACCCAGACCAGAGAATTATCAGAGGTCTGGTTTGCCTGCCAGACCCCGTAGTATTGAGGTGTGTGAAAACATACAAATAAGAGTTGATGGTGAAGAGGAAGATGAGGATGTCCTAAACAGAAGTTTTAACAGTGGTGTGGTGATCAAGAGAAAGTTTGACACAAGTCCTTCCACTAAGAAAGTCAGTAAAAGGAAACCTAAAGATCAGATTCATGTCACAGACAGAGTAAGTACTGACACATTCCAGGAAAACAGGAAGTCTATAGAAAAATTGGTAGATGACATTATGACAGAAATGTCTGAGGTCAGAGGTGAGCAATCCCAGGAAGCATCTGGGACTGTGATCGACGCAACAGTACCAGGAAAGCTCTCAGAATCTAAAGATGCCACTGCCAGCCTTCCTGATTGTACTGTACATGTAGTCGCACCCAAAATACAGGCAGTAGACAGTGAGGACAGAATTGTGGAGGGTCTAGGTCAAAATCTGAATGAGAAAGAATTAGAGATAGAGGAAGAAATACAGGTTATGGACTTTTTCACTGAGGCCCGAACACTGCCTCAAAGTGAGAAGAGTTTTTCACATCGAGACAGATTGTCTTTAGGTCTTTCGGAAGTTAAAAAGGACTTTCAACCAGTCCTGGCAGCAAATGTAGATGTAAAATATAAACCAACATTCACCAAACCGAAAAAAGAGGATAAGGCAAAATACACAGACAAAGCATCTGCAAGTACAGACAAAGCCCCCTCAGGTACAGACAAAGCCCCCCCAGGTACAGACAAGGCACCAACTAGTACAGACAAGGCACCAACTAGTACAGACAAGGCATCTACAAGTACAGACAAAGCCCCCTCAGGTACAGCCAAGGCACCCTTAGGTACAGACAAAGCACCCTCAGGTACAGACAAGGCATCTACAAGTACAGACAAAGCACCCTCAGGTACAGATAAGGCATCTACAAGTACAGACAAAGCCCCCTCAGGTACAGCCAAGGCACCAACTAGTACAGACAAGGCATCCTCTGACACAGGCAAGACACCCACTTGTACAGAAAAGGCACACACAAGTGCAAGTAAGCCAGCTATCATAACAGACAAGCCACCTAGCAATACAGACAAGGCACCTATTAGCACAGACAATCCACCTAGTACAAACAAGACACCTACTAGTACAAATAAGGTACCTGTTAGCACAGACAAGCCACCTAGTACAAACAAGGCACCTATCATTGCAGACAAGATACCTACTAGCACAGACAATCCACCTAGTACAAACAAGACACCTACTAGTACAAATAAGGTACCTACTAGTACAGACAAGCCACCTAGTACAAACAAGGCACCTATCATTGCAGACAAGCTACCTACTAGTACAGACAAGCCACCTGGTACAAACAAGGCACCTATCATTGCAGACAAGCCACCTGCTAGTACAGATATGGCACCAACTATTACATCAATAACACAGGCAGATTCAGGCAGTAGTAAAGAGGATGGCATTGATTTATATGGTGCTGTTCATGGCGGTGAATCTGAGGATGTTCTTATGCTTGGGGTTGATGGAAAGTGGAAACTTGAGAGCAAAACTGAAATCAAAGATCATTTACC